ACCATGTCTTAACTTGGTGGACCCATGAAAGATGATCGATCATTTGCACATCGCAACGGTGGTAGCTGGATCTACAACTGAGCTACTTGTTTCATTGGAAGAGAAAGAGGGAGAATGTGGCATTTTGGGTACTCTCGGTTTTGTACTGCACCCAAGAACCATTTGTCCAGTAGATCGATGTTGGACAGTCTACCATGTGTATAGTGCAGGAGGTGCTGTGGTGCTCTTGTACTAAGATTCTTCACAATTGATGGCAATAACGTTGCTCTGTCAGCTATGTACATGTCTGCAAGTAGATCGAGGTCGTGAGAAATGTTAGTCGGTGCTAAGCTATATAGGAGTAGTACACGTCGTAGTTGACAATTTAGCGAGTGCTTTGATTTTGCTGCCATTCATCAACAATGAATGGATTCCCACAGTAAAAAACAACAACACCACCAACAACAATGAATCGATGCACTAAAAATCAGTTGTAGCGATTCAACCTATGGTTGGATGGTTAGTTGAACAACGGTATCACCAACCCATCAGTGTTCAAGTCCAGCCGCTCACATTTATTCTGAATTTATTTCAGAATTTTCGGTGATATACGTTTAGTGGGAGGAGACATTCCCATCGACTACGAGACGCCCACGGTGACTTCGTAAAATCTCAAAATGATATGCCAGCTCAGTCTCTTGAAATTGCTCATAGGGATAGCGTGTACGTATGTGCATTCATAGATGTGAGTATATACGTGTATATATAAGCGCTTGCGTCTGTACGGACGTTAAAAAAAAGCTGAAATAGCATGCATGATCAGGTCGTTGCATTGTCACAAAAAAACACAAAATGGTTAGTCGATCATTGCACGTGGGGCAAGCCTGTCATACGTCGGTCACCACTCCTTCCTTCCACCGGTCACGCCACGTGGTGATCGTACTAAAGTTAGCACGAGCTACACCTACACCCACACCCACACCGTTTGTTCACTACACCACACACACATGAACAGCTGGAGATCGAGAGGGTGGATGCGGATCGGACGGCCGCGATCTGTCGTCGTCGGAGCACACGCGCCGCCGTTGCAACCTGTCCGCCGGCGCGTACGTCTCCGGCCAGGCCAATATATACGGCGGGTGTGACGGACACGAGCATGGGTTGCCATGAATGCCATCGCACTGCACGACTAGTTTGGCGATCAGATCACCGTGCGCTGTCCAGGACGTACGACAAGGTTATTCACTACACGTGGTCTTTGATGAGATGAGATATTTTTGGGAGGAGGTCTATAGAGTTTTGCTTTCTCCTTGTGTAGTCGATAGAAAATGGCGTGTCAAGACCTGGTCATATAAATTAGTCTACGCACTAGAGATCATGTCACTAGCGGACTTTTATTGGGTTATCCATGGTATGTGTGGTAAGCAACTTCATATTTAAAATGATGAAATCGAGCTATGATGCTTTGTGTGGTGATTAGGCAATAGAAATAGATGAGAAAACAGAATCCAGAAAAGAAAAGAATCACAGGTGCCCTCTTTGTAAATAAAGAGAAATACAAATACTTCTAAGCAACGGTTTTAACTTCCCGTGGCTTTTCTTTTCAAAAGGCTCGGGCCATATATTAAACAACACAAACACTTAAAAACATCCTTGCATAAATTAAAATACATTCTAACTCTTCAGGGGGCCAAAATCTTCTTCCTCTTGCACCCACCGACGGCGCGCTGTGAGCAAAACTCGCCGCCGCCTCTGAGTCTCCGTCTTAGCGAAGCAAACATGTTTTAAATAGATGAGCTTGTAAAATTAACGGTTGTGAAGTCGTCGATGTGTACCATAAGACACTAGTGACCGTGATATGAGTAGTAGATCGCCGCACCATCGAAGAAAACGACGGAAAGGACTGTAGAGCGCCTCAGTTCCGGCCAAACGGACTTGGGGAACACAAACCTCATGCGCTCACCGACAAGAATGAGTATGGACAACCTTTGATGGTCGGAACTGGAGGAAGAGTACCAAGACATACAACCACGTTGCCCGCTCTGCAGACCGAGACAAACTCGTAGAGAAAAAAACACCAAACCCGAAGAACCAAGTCCAAGAACGCAACATCTTCCACATGCCTCCAAGCGATACAAGCAAGCATCATCGGAACAAGAAAGAGGAGGGGCACTTTATTCCACACCGATGACGACAACATCGTATCACCACCGGTGAAGGAGACCTACCTAATGTCAAGAGAGAGAAACTACAACTCCCATCGGTAGATCGGTGACTCCCCACACACACCTCACTGACAGAGCCGGTGGAGGAGGAGGAGGTCGGGGATCTACAAACGAAGAAGGATGATGGCGGGGGAGGAACCCTAGACCGCTTGGGGTGGGGCATGTGGTTCATTGACTAGTGTGACTTCTTTGTGGTTTGGTTAGTTAAGATGAACTTAGTTTCATCCACAAGTGTGACTTCTGTTTTATAACATGACATAATTGATCTTGCAATAATACAACAAAAGACTCAAATATCATTTATTAAAGAGACTTCAAATGGGGAGGGTCGTTTTGGCATTCAGGATCATATGCTCCCGAATAAACAGTAAATTTGAAACAAATAGTAAATAAATGACAATTTTTATATGAAACAGGATATCGGTGCTTCATCAATGACAAAAACAAAAACTAAGTGTAACATTAGATGTTCGTTTTTTACATAGGTAAAAATGCTAAAGCTTTGCACATAAAATTTTGCAGGGTGTGACATGAACACATCTAATTTTTTTTTTACACCCGAAGACACATTTTTGGTGTGGGAGCATATACTGTTGGGAGCCGAATTGGATTTCCGCCTTCAAATGGTATTTTAAAGACCAGGCGAAAATAACCCTAAGAAGAGATCCCCACTATATAACAACAATTCCTTCAATGATTATGGACATCTTTGATATGTATTCCATAAGATCATGTTTCTTCAACAACACAAGCTTTTATTGAGCTTATTGTTGCATGAAGTTGATACAACCACATAACATCACAACACTAGAATACCCCTCACACCCACCCACACCGCGTGAGAGGGGTTGGCTTGGGGTGTCATGTCATCACCTGCCAAAACCCCCACAAGGCCGCGATATGAAACGTCGGTGGTAAGGTGTTTATTGTCATTGTCGTAGACATGAAGCTGATGAAGCCAGAAATTTACTCTTTGGTATTACTGTAAAAAAATTATGCGACAATTGATCAATTGTTAGCCTCTATAACTAATAGGAGTATCAGAGCATCTACATCCGTACTTCTCAAATTGACCGGGCAGGCACGGGGACCACTGACCGGACAGGAGTGAGAGGCAAAAAGCTGACCCAACCGGACCCCTCATATCTTTCCTATATGCCCGGGCAGTCCGCAAACCCTCATATCCATCTCAAATATGGGAAGGGTATGAGGGCTCGCTGACACGCCCGGGCGTGCCCGGTCAATCCACCATGTAGGACGCGGCCCCACCCTGGACCACCTTTTCTTTTTTGTATTCATTCTTTTATTTCTCTCTATTCGTCTCCAGCAATCACGTGCAAGTGACCGGACATATGAGGAAGAAAATGAGGATTGTGGTTGCGCGGATGAACAAATGGGGGCTCAAAACGAACACGTCCAGTCACTGACCGGGCGCATCCACGGGCGTTTAAGGGGTCGAATTAGAGGTACGTGGCTGAAGATGCTCTTATATAGCTATACTTGATTTTTAGGGTCAGATCTTTGGTGCTCATGTAAATGCACATGAGTACCGACTCTTCAAGTAAACATCAAGTGGTGATCTGAATTCTATCCAAGAGCTTACTAGTATCATGACTCATTTTAACAGTGTCCGGTCTTTCAGTTAATGCCAAAACAAATGTAAGGTCTTCTCCAGTGGTATTTCCTTTTCTTCGAAACAAACTATTTTTGTGTGTGTCTTCAATGAAGGGATTCTACCAGTATGTCCTTCCAAAAATTCACGCTCTTGTACCCAAATCACTCTGAATAAATTGCACTTTTTCCAGCTGAATAATTGCATCCTTTGGTACACACAAAGCAAGAGGGGGCTCTTTAAAAGAACTGGATGGAAAGAACACCGTGGCGGAAGGAGCAAAACAACCATCGCCGTCCGTCCGTCCGTAAAACCGCGAGGAAACGAGAAAAAGGTCACAGCTTGCGACGCAACCTCCGACGGCGACGGCCGCCATTTGTTTACTCGCTCCTCCGCTCCGCTCCCCCCTTTCCCCTTCCCTCCCTATCCACCACCCTCCCTCCAGCCACCGCCGCACCAACTCCTCTCTCTCTCTCTCTCCTGTCCCCCTCGATTGGTTGCGCCACCAAACCGACCGCACCAAGCCGAGCCAAGCACGCCCGAGCAAAGCGGGGGGAGAGAGAGAGGACCGGGAGGAGCATCCCGACAGCCGCGCGCCGCCGGCCGGCCCGTCCGGCGTCCAGATCCCGCCCAGTTCGGAGGTACCCCCACCCGTCCAGTCCTCCCTCCCCTCCCCTGTTCTGTTCTGGTTTGCTTGCGGCTTTGCGGCGGAAATCGTCTGCCCGAATTCGGGGGGCGTTCTTGGTGAAATTGTGCTGCCGTGCTCGGATCGGGGGTTCCAGTTCATGCTCCTGATTCTTTACTTCTGCTGTCCTCGATTTTTGTTGGTGCTGTTGCTGAGCGGTGGAGTCCGCGCTGGCCATTTGGATCGGAAATCGGCTCTTTGGTGCCGATCCTGTTTCTTGAAGTCTGGGGTTAGTGGTTGGTTTAGTCGATTGCTGTTGGGGGCAGATGTCTCGTCTCCGTGATACTCTTTGGTACCCTTGCAGATCTTGCTGTACTGAATTGCAGCTGCACAAGTGGTTATAATTGCTGTACTGAGCTCTACTTTCAGCTGAGCTAAGGCAATCCTTCAACTCGTTGTATTTGCAGGTACAATTTTTCCCTGCGTGTCCGCATGAGCAGAAGAGACAGCAGGAGAAGTGATTTTGGACTGAACTTCTGAGAAATTTAGGAAGGCATACATGCATAATGATGTTGGGATGGTGTCCAGCAGAAGGAATTCCACAGGGGCGTTCCACCGCGACGGCCCGCCCAAGGACTGGTCCCAGTTCGCCGACCCCTCGCCGTCTCCTAAACTGCTGTACTCGCAGTCCTATGTCGTCATGAGGGGGCTGCTGGCGTCGCTGGCATCTCTGGACTTGGCCCTGTGGTCAAGCACGATGAAGTCCGCATGGCGATCGCCCGAGAGGTCGAAGTCTAAGGGGCCGGGCTGCAAGAGAGTTGCGTTCCGGCTGTTTGTTTGTTTCATGGTCGGCATCTTCATCGGGTTCACGCCCTTCTTCTCGGTCGATGTCTCTCAGAAGATCGTCTCGAGGCTCCCGTTCGACGATGGGGTGGATGATAAGGTTAAGGAGTTGGATGCAATCGTAGTGCAGAAAGAGGTTGAGGTGGTTGATGAGCCCGAGGTTGAGCAGCTGAGCCCTCCGGTTCCTGCAATGTTGGATGATGAGGTGGATTTTGTCGAAGCTGCGAAACCTGCTATTACTGATTTGGTCATCCCTGTGAGGAAGCTTCTGATAGTGGTGACAATCACTTCTGCTCGGCCACAACAGGCGTATTACTTGAATCGTCTAGCTCATGTTCTGAAAGGTGTACCACCTCCTCTCTTATGGTTAGTGGTGGAATGGCCTGTTACTACCTTTGAAACAGCAGAAATCCTCAGGTCTTCTGGGGTCATGTACAGGCATATTGTCTGCAGGAAGAATCTTACTAGTGTGCGGAAGATTGCTGTCTGTCAAAGGAATAATGCAATCTATCATATTAAAAAGCATCACCTTGATGGTATAGTGCACTTTGCTGACGAAGAACGATCATACATGGGTGATGTATTTGAAGAAATGCGGAAAATCAGGTGACATTTCTCTACCAAAACTTTATTTGATGTACTGGTATATTTGATGAATTATGAATGCATGGTAAATCCTCTTGATGGTCCAAATGTTTTGTTGAAACTTTTTGTTGTATAACTAACTCTGTTGGTGACAAGTTGTAGATTCTGGTTTCTTTGCTCACTTTAGACTTACTATTCTACACTGTATTATATTGCATGAATGAGTTGTTACATCTTCCTTGCTTATGACACAAGTCAGCACTAGGTTGAGTGTTACATGATCCTTGCGCATGAAATTTGTAAGCAGAGACAGCACCTAGTAAATGTTGTCTTCTCAAGGAATATATGGCTATCGATATAAACATGTAGTTTCTTCAGTTGGATGCCACTTGGATTTTGATAGCAGCCAATGAAGCAAGTTTAATCTCATACACATGGCTGGGATTTCTGGAAATCAGCACTAACTGGCTTTGTAAACCATGGCTAAAACTGAAAGGCGTCTATTTGCTTTTGCTCCTAGAATTGTGTGACTTGTGCACTGTGACAGGAACCTTCTCTCCACTAGAAAAATCCGCTTGTAAATTTCCCTTTTCTTTTTGCAACAAATCAGAAGATTTTCATACTTATCAATTGTTGGACCTAGCTTATACTGGTGAGTACCAGCGTCACAAAAATATTCCCTACCTACATGATGCTGAATGAGTGATACTCAACCAGCCGTGGGAAGGTTCTTAGTTTCCTATCAGAGCCTTTGTTCATGGTAAACAATATTGGTGATTCCAGATTCCAGCCAGCACCTTGCCAATTATTTTCAAACAGTTCCTTTCCTTAATGTTGGCAAAAGAATATTACAGAGTACTATTATCTGTTGTTTTCAGTTTATCTTAGTGATGACTGATGATATAACTCAACAATTTACCAAATTGGGTGCTCAAACTTGAGAAGTTATGCAGCATGGTGGCAATTTTGCAAGAAAAAGAACTGATTGCAAATAGTCTTTTTATTAAGAAAACGGACATGTCATGAATAGAATTCAAAGATAAAGCCTGTAAATTAGGAATTTGGTTTAGGAGGTGAAACAATATCATGGACTTTGTTGCCTTAAAACTGCCTACCAGAGATTTCAGATCAAAGAAATCTGTAGTAATCTTTCTTTCTCTTATGAGTTTGTTCTTTTCTATGCAGGCGCGTTGGTGCATGGCCTGTAGCGAACCATGATGCAAGTAAGTACAGGGTGGTTGTAGAAGGGCCTACGTGTAAAGGAAACCGAATCACTGGATGGAACACAATCCCGAAGAAGGGTGCACCCCGTCGATTCCCAATTGGTTTCTCTGGGTTTGCTTTCAACAGTACAATGCTTTGGGATCCTCAAAGGTGGAACCGCCCAGCTATGGATTCTGTTATAGTCCACTCTGGTGGTAGAGGTGGTCTGCAGGTGAGTTTGTCCCTAACGCAAACTTCAGCACTATGTTTTAATGGAACTTCCTTTCTGCAAAATTCTACTGCAGGCTAGTTGAATTTCTATATGTAGATCTCCATGGAGCAAACTGCACAGTACCTATCAATTTTTCTTGGGTAACACTGTAATGAAGTAAAATATCATAAAAGATTGGTTAGGCAAATAAATGATAATTGCGATCAAGACAAAACCAGCCGTGGGATATTTTAAGCAACTATAGTCACTAGCATGTCTCGAAGAAAATGCTGCATTATGGCTAATTTTGTGACCTGATATGAAGCCATACAGCAGATAACTCATAAAAATTTACATGGATAACAGAATTCATGTAGCATAGCATCACATTATTTCCTGACCTGACAACTACGTGTCATTGCAGGAGTCACGATTTGTCGAGAAGCTTGTTAAAAACGAGCGTCAAATAGAAGGCCTTCCAGACAACTGCAACCGGGTCATGGTCTGGAACTTCGCCCTGGAACCTCCCCAGCTCAACTACCCCGCCGGATGGTCACTGTGGAACCACCTTGAAGTTGTCAAAGACCTGTAACATAGAGATCCTGCCACCGGAAGTCCTCTGCTCCCTGCAGGCCGTTTCTCTCAGCAAGCCAGCCGGAAGGATGATAAACCTTGCGGCGGCGCAGAGGTTCTGGATCTCGACTTGGCGATGCCCGCTAGCGGCGCTGCTAACCGATTGCCCTCCTCCTGAACAGCCCGCCCGCGCGACGGGACCCGCAAAGTCGTAGTGCCAGTCATACTAGTAGGAGTGCCAATCAGAACTGCCTGACCAGCTTTTTCTCTATTTTTGTGTGCTCGCTGTATTCTTTTTGTGCCCTTCGTCCCCCCTCCCTATTCGCCGGTGCATACTGCCCTGTAGTTTTGTTTCCCCACGGCCTTTTTCTGTGTTTATGATACGTTTACAGATGTAAAAACCTGCAGCCATTGCAGCTGTTGAACAGTGAATGCAATACCACAGATTTGTAACTGTTAACCCAGCAATCTAGTCCGCTTAGGCTGTATGTAAGCTGTGTCAAATTCCTTTCGGAGTCTTAACTGTAATCCTACATGACGCTGTGAAGTTGTACATGAAACCTGTAAAGAGTTTCTTTCGATTGCCCGGTGAGGTCATAGCCGTCCCAACCTTTATCATGTTTTCTCCAAAAAAGGACCTTTATCATAAGAAGAAGCCCTTAACCAAACAAGCCGGTGCAAATGATGCAAATATAGCATGTGATTCGAACATTACTGGCTGTGCTTGTTGCAGAAATTTGTGATCAACCAGTTTGATGCAAAAGGTTCATGCGACGTTTTTCACTTCTTTTTTTCTTAATCGTAGTACAATTTTGCGGCACTAGTTTGGAAATGGTGGCAGAAATCCAGAATGCATGTATACATTTGGACCTTGGCCGTCAATGGTACGAGAGATATAAAATTCTAAGTGAGTGTTGACGTCCAAGTCGATATGTCCGAGTGGTTAAGGAGACAGACTCGAAATCTGTTGGGCTTTGCCTGCGCAGGTTCGAATCCTGCTGTCGACGATCCTTCTTTTTTTTTTCATTTTTTTTTCATTTTTTTCTCTTTCCTTTTTCTTTTCTTTGCAGTGACATTTGTTGTCAACTGTCGCTTTGTTAGAGGCTTTGAAGATTTTGTTGTAAGTTTTTTTTCGGGGACTGTAAGATTTTGTTGATGCAATCTTTGTAAATATATTCATGCCTAATGAATTCCAATAAGATGTCCATGTACTGAACAGTGTGTCCAGTAAAATACAGAGTCTTGTAATGAAAAGTGTGTCGTCAATCCTGCTGCTGGCGATTCAACCCTTTTTTTTTTTTTGCCTTATGCTTCTTTGTGGATCTTGTCATATGCCACTGTAAGATTTTGTTGATGCAACCTTTGTAACTATGTTCATGAAATGGACGGTGTGTTGCGTCAGTTAATGTGCTGTGCTGAAGCCTGAAACTGGAGTAAGATATAGGTCAGTGGCTTCCTGAGATTGGGCTACCAATGCTTTATACGCTGGGGCCTATACTTCACAATGCTTTATACGCTGTCATCAACTTTAGGGGTTCGGGATTTACCCTGTTTTTTGTTTATTATTATTCCTGCTGTTTGGCAATTACAAGCCCCTCCTTAAGATGCATGTTTTTCTTTGGTTTGGTTATTACTTGCCCATAACTAAACTGCTGACACGTGATGACCTTTTAATACGACAACACATACCTAATCACAGCTGCCCGTTATGTTCTGAAACTGAAAACAGAGAACACTTGCTCTTTTCCTGTGGCATTGCTCGCCTTTATTGCAACTAGAAACCTCGCACGCCATATGGTCAGCCCTAGCGAACATGTTCGCTGCCCAATCCCATTCTCGTGTGAACAACTGCAGCATCTCTCTCTCCAATGCACAGAAAGGCTCTCTGAGCGCCTCTGCATACTTTGGGCAGATGAGAGTGCTCTCGGTCGGATGAGCTAGCTGCCGCCGGGAGTCCCATGACTGAAGGATATCTTCTTTCTTTCATCATTGCAGGGCTTGACATGGATTACCAACCCTTGATCTCGGCGCTGGACGTGCGCACTGCACCCCTCTCAGTGGATGATCTCTTTGGCATGGTCGCAAATTTCGATCAATGCATTGAGATGTTCCACGGGACAGGGGCAGGTGCTTTCAAGTCCTCGGCTAATGCTGCATCCCGAGGCCGCGAAAACAACAACAACTCCAGCCGCTACCGCAACTCCAACATGAGTGGTGGTGGTGGATCTCGCGGTGGTGGCAGCGACCACTACCAGAACGGCGGCGGCAACAACAGCGGCGGCGGCCACTACAACAACCCCAACACCGGTGGTGGCGGCGGCGGCTACAACAACTACAACAGCGACAGCGGTGGTGGCGGCGGCGGCGGTGGCGGCCACTACCAGAACGGCGGCAACAACAATAGACGTCCCTACTACAACAACAACAGGGGGCGTCCCTTCCAAGGGTATGAGGAGTATGAAAATAAGTGTCATATTTGCAAGAAAAATAAGTATATTGCCAAAGATTGTGATTGGCGCTATGCCGAGAACATCCCGAGAAAGAAAGTTGCAGCAGCTGCAGATACGTCATACGGAGTTGACACAAACTGGTACATTGACTCCGGAGCCACCAACCACATCACCAACGAGCTCGAGAAGGTGATGATGAGCGAGAAATATCATGGCCATGATCAAGTTCACAATGCCAATGATGAAGGTATGGAGATTGATCGTATTGGTCATGCAATTGTCAAAACCCCTAGTAGTAATATACATCTTAGAAATATCTTGCATGTTCCCGAAACAACCAAAAATCTCCTTTCCGTCCATCGTATTGCCATTGACAATAAAGTGTTTCTAGAATTTCACCCATATTTCTTTTTGATTCGAGATGAAGTCACGAGGAACATTCTCTACAGAGGTAGATGCGTTCATGGGCTCTATCCATTGATTCCCCACTTTAGAAGCTTCAATAAAGTTTTTGATGTTGTCAAACTCTCTTCAAAGCGGTGGCATGCAAGATTAGAACATCCATCTTTTGTTATTGTTCAACAAGTGCTTAGAAATAATCAGCTCCCATGTGTTGGTGAGCGTAGTCTTGAAACTATATGTGATTCTTGTCAGAAAGCAAAATCTCATCAATTGCCATATCCAATATCTACTAGTGTTTCTACTAGACCTTTGCAACTTGTTTTTTCTGATGTTTGGGGTCCTGCCCCTATGTCTGTTGGACGCCATACTTACTATGTTAGCTTCATAGATGATTTTAGTAAGTATACTTGGATTTATCTTCTTAAAAAACACTCTGATGTTTTCCAAGTTTTCCAACACTTTCAAGCACTTGTTGAACGTCAATTCGATAGCAAAATTCTTGCAGTCCAATCTGATTGGGACAGTGAGTATGAGAAACTAGATTTGTTTTTTCAAACCTTTGGCATTTCTCATCATGTGTCATGTCCCCATGCGCATCAGCAGAATGGCTCAGCTGAGCGCAAACATAAGCACATAGTTGAGGTAGGCCTAGCCGTCCTTGCTAGCGCTTCCATGCCCCTCAAATTTTGGGATGAGGCCTTTCTTACCGCATTCCATCTCATTAACATGCTTCCTAGTCGTGTTCTACAAAATGATACACCCATGCATAGACTACTCAATACTCGACCAGATTATTGAAGGAAATATGCCCTAGAGGCAATAATAAAGTTGTTATTTATATTTTCTTATATCATAATAAATGTTTATTATTCATGCTAGAATTGTACTAACCGGAAACTTAGTACATGTGTGAATACATAGACAAACAGAGTGTCACTAGTATGCCTCTACTTGACTAGCTCGTTGAATCAAAGATGGTTAAGTTTCCTGGCCATAGACATGAGTTGTCATTTGATTAACGAGATCACATCATTAGAGAATGATATGATTGACTTGACCTATTCCGTTAGCTTAGCACTTGATCGTTTAGTATATTGCTATTGCTTTCTTCATGACTTATACATGTTCCCATGACTACGACATTATGCAACTCTCGAATACCGAAGGAACACTTTGTGTGCTACCAAACACCACAACGTAACTTGGTGATTATAAAGGTGCTCTACAGGTGTCTCCGATGGTACTTGTTGAGTTGGCATAGATCAAGATTAGGATTTGTCATTCCGATTGTCGGAGAGGTATCTCTGGGCCCTCTCGGTAATGCACATCACTATAAGACTTGCAAGCAAAGTGATTAATGAGTTAGTTGCGGGACGATGCATTACGAAACGAGTAAAGAGACTTGCCAGTAACGAGATTGAACTAGGTATTTAGATACCGACGATCGAATCTCGGGCAAGTAACATACCGATGACAAAGGGAACAACGTATGTTGTTATGCGGTTTGACCGATAAAGATCTTCGTAGAATATGTGGGAGCCAATATGAACATCCAGGTTCCGCTATTGGTTATTGACCGGAGACGTGTCTCGGTCATGTCTACATAGTTCTCAAACCCGTAGGGTCCGCACGCTTAATATTCGGTGACGATCGGTATTATGAGTTTATGTGTTTTGATGTATCTAAGATAGTTTGGAGTCCCGGATGTGATCACGGACATGACGAGGAGTCTCGAAATGGTCGAGACACAAAGATTGATATATTGGATGACTATATTCGGACACCGGATGAGTTCCGGGGGTCACCGGATAATTATCGGAGTGCCGGGGGATTATCGGAACCCCCGGGGGGAGTATTGGGCCTACATGGGCCATAGGGAAGAGGGGAGGCAGCCCACAAGGGGCAGCCGTGCCCCCTGCCTATAGGGAGTCTGAATTGGACTAGAGAAGGGGGCGCACCCCCCTTTACTTCTCCTCTCCCTCTCCTTCCTTTCCCCTTCCTCCTCCTAGTTGGACTAGGAAAGGGGGAGTCCTACTCCTACTAGGAGGAGGACTCCTCCCCCTCCTTGGCGCGCCCCAAGGCTGGCCGGCCTCCCCCCTTGCTCCTTTATATACGGGGGAAGGGGGGCACCCTAGAACACACAAGTTGATTATTGATCCCTTAGCCG